GTTCTTCATACCTGCCCCTGAAGGCCCTGCTTACATGGGGCACTCTGTTGGCAACATTTATCCCAAGGGAACGTATCCCACATGGAAAACATCCTAGCAACCTATTGTCACCCCTATCGCCTCTGCCCGGCCACTCCCTCCGTCGGACGTGACCGCCAACCTATTCCGAATGATGAGTTCCAAGCGAGAGCCAATCAGCACACTGGTCACACGACTGTCAACTCTGGTGAATACATGGTTCAAAATGGAGACTATGAAAACCACAGGCACCTAAATAGAGAAGTGCTGTTGATTTAGTTTCATGAAAGTTAACCGTCAACTAAATATCTTCTGGTTTTGGTAGCGTATTATAGTAATAATTATCAATGACCGGATTATAGTTAAAAAGAGAAATCTTCGGTCCTGGTACCTTCTATACGTATGTATGCACCTGACCTACCTATGAATAATTCTGATTTAATATAAAGTGAAATTGTGAAAAAAGGGATACTGCCATCCCTCCTGAACAATATTGTTTTAGATGTGCACGTGAGACAGTTCCCAAAACCTGACTGGATGTTGCAGCCTTGTATCACTTGTGAGCTGCCTGGTGAATCCCCCTGTAAGGATGTCACAGGCAAACAGACTGCAGCTTTTTGTACCAGCAGTGCACCTGAATCATGCTACAAGGGCTTCAGGCTGGGTGGGTGTGTGTGTGTGGGTGTGGGTGTGGGTGTGTGTGTGTGGGTGTGGGTGTGGGTGTGAGAGAAAGCTTGTAGCCAAGCCTTCCATCACTCTTACAAAAGCATAGCACCCCTCTCCCCCTGGTGCAGTGCAGAATGACACTGCTGGGCTCTCATACTCTGAAAGGAGTCCAGCGCTGCCCATTACCCAACCCAGGCCACATGCTGCAAGAGGGGCTTCATAGCACTGAGCCTGCCATCAGGCACTGTATTAGCATGTGAGTAACACACAACGCAACCATCAACAAAACAAAGTGTGCCTGAGTGCACAATCTGCAGCACATTGAAGCAAACACCTGGAAATCTCGACTGTGTAAGTTTCGGAGTACAAACTACTAAAAAGGTAATACTTAGCATATATTAGTATATTGGAGGCTACATCCTAAGAGAAAATAAAAAACAGACAAAACGAGGAGTCAAAATGAACACGAGCTTCAGTCTAGAGAAATGCCCTGGCAGGTTAATGGTTATAAACAAGCCAATGTGTTTGCATGCTTTAAGTGACCCCCTGCAATCGGTGCATCTTTTTATTTTTAAAAAAGAAAACGCTCCGATGTCCGAAGCATGAATCTATGGAACAAAGGCAGCATGCTTTTGATCAAGGACTTGGTCAGCTGCTGCAGTATTTCATTCACACGGTGTGCAAATTCTTACTGGTGCGGGCAGCACCAGCCAGAGCCGGCCAAGTGTTTACATGTTGTGAAGGCCCAGCCTGAAGACCTCACTGGTACACACCCGGGCCTCCTTACAACGTTTCAACAGAACGCTCTGCTGGAAGCCCAGGACCTGAGGAAGGACGTCGGCCTGAGCACAGTGACAGCGAGAGAGAAGCCAGTCAGGTGCCTCTCCATCCTGGTTGGGTCTGGACACATGCGGCTGCAGTGCCCCGACCTGAGGAGGGGGCAGCCTGGCTGAGGAGGCCCTCGTTCGAACCCTTGCCTGATCCCCCACAGACCTGTCCCTAAGGCCTCAAGAACTTGGGCAAGGCTGCAGGCGAGACCAGGCCTGCTCGGCTCATCTTACTCCACCAGGGGCTGGCAGTTTAGTGAGCCCTGTCAATATTCCACACTGCAGCACAGCCTGGCCACTGGCTAAAGACACCCTCAGTCCTCCGAGTCAAGATTTTTACTGCTCCCGCCTTTCTATTCTAGCTCAGCTGTCATTTACGACCTCTGGTCCAGGTCTCTGTATTGAGCTGAGTTTAGAGCACATTAAGTCTACAGAGAGGCTGAAAGTTTTCTCAACAATTATTTTCTGATGTTTTGAATGTCTGCAGCCCAACTGTGTGAAGCATCACACCCGTCAAAACTCCAGCCCTGTTGAAGTGCTGGCATGAGCCCGGAGACTCTTCCCAGAAAACACCATCCTTGGAAAAGTCAATAACACCCCACCTTCGACAGTCCACTCAGTCCTAATACACACCGACGGCTGTTTGAAAATGATTTAGTGTGTAAGAATCTGGATGTTTATTTCTTAAAAAGTATTTATTCTTCAATGTTCCTGCAATGATCTCATTGTTGTGGACTGGATTGGGGAATTCAAAGAATGGTGATGAAGCAGATTTGCTTACAGTACATTTGGGACACTAATGTCCAGTAAAGGAGATGTGAGGGTACCTTTTAAAAGATGCTCAGAAGAATACGAACACTTACTTTTAATTGGCCTACTACCATACTCAATATACAGCTGTCTGGAGTGGGCTGGTGGTCTTGTGCTGTTATGCTGTGAGCAATTTTTTGAAAGGGAAGGCTCTGCAAAATAAAGAGAGACAGAAAATGATCGACCAGCTCAATCAAACCACAAAGATGGCTCAGTTTTTGTCTGCTGCTCTCGCAATGCTCAAAAGAGAGACTTTAAAGCCCGGTTAGAGGTTGCAGCTTTTACTCTTGTGATCAAAAAGGGCGATCAAGGCTCTGCTTTTTTGGGGGTGTAGAGACATTAACACTGTCACTTCTGCAGCAGGGTCAGATAAGACACTGTAATGACTTGTAACGACTGAATATTATTGTGAGCAAAATCCCTGGACTACTAACCACTCAGTTTCTGTTCCCGGGCAATTTCACGATTCGTCGATTGCAATCAGCAGAGTCCGGGCAACTCCCTCCCTGATCTCTGAAACCACTGCCTTTCTTGATCTATGAATAAGGCTTGCAGCTGAAACGCAGGATCTCTGCACTATTCTAAATACAAACTGCAGATCTGGATCAGAAACGGGCCTCACTTGACTCAACAGTCGTCCACCGGACCCCAGGTCCCCGTGCAACCTCTTATCCCAGCGAACTTACAGAGAGTTTCTCAACAATAGCTGCTTTTCCTTGGAACTGCTGTCCTTCCCAGGTAAGGCATGATGCGTCGATCTGAAAGAGAGAAGGCCCCGGGGGATCAGGCTGTTGTGCAACACACAGCGCAGGCACAGAGGCAGGGAACGCCGAAAGAAAGACTTTCACCACAGGTGCCCTGACTGAGAGGGGGGAAAGGACAGAGCCCAGCACACGGCACTGCCCTCTCCCACCTGTCACTGCGTGCCAGACAGCAGGCCAAGAGCGCGTAGGAAATCAGCCCGTGAGAACCACAATTACAATCATGTGGAATGTCAGAACAAAACCAAGTGTGTCAAATAAAGATCTAAAACTTGAATGCAAAGATGCGTATAGGAAAACATCACAGTAACGAAGGCTGTATTGTGGTACCTACATTAAGCAGAAATGTTAAGAGGAGTCCATTCAGCAATTCTGCAAATGAATTTTTATGGAGATGTTAGTCATTCCTTTTTCAATGTAAGACGAACTGCTAAAAAGCATTTTCACACATTTACATTTTTTTTAGACGTCTTGCGCCACGATGAATTGCATTAATCGGGATTTTGCTGAAAGACGCGATTCAGGTGCTCTGAAATGTAACAAGGCAACTACTTCAAATTCCACAAGATCTGGGGGATTTCGTACAATTGAGAGGCGTGGTCCTTTGTAGTGAACCGTATTCAGTGGAGCAGGTTCCTGTTACAGTGGAAAGTTGTGTCCTTGGGAGACTGCGTGGATGCACAGCACTGCTGCCTTGAAGGAGACACACCCAGGGGCTTGGCCAACATCTCACACCATATGTGCACCAACATGGCCATTCCTGCAGCCGCCACCTGCTACCGATACCAACCATGAGCACCAGGCATCATGCTCAGGAGCTGGTCACATGAGGAACATTCAGACTTGCCTTGCCCAGCGCAGGGATTATGTTTCTGAAACCCCCTGCAGCTGATAAGTGCACAAGTGTATGGGAAGTATGGGGTCAGTCCATCTTCCATTCATCAAGGGCTACACACAACCTCAACTTTTCTCCCTTAAAACTTACAAAGACCACAATGTGAATTACAATTCAACATGCCAGAGCAGTAAAACGCAGCTGAGGGTAAATCAGAATTATATTTTTTTGTGAATCCTGCAATTTACAAACGGCAAAAGAACGGAAAACCCTAAGAGCGCATAAAGAACCTTTCCAGTTAGTTTATCCAAGACATACTGTCCCTTTTAAAACATAAGCAGGCAGAAGTAAAATCCCAGAACTGGGAGAGGGTGACTCATTTTTGGGTGGGGTTTTTATCTTTTTTTATTTTGGTCTTCCTCTATGTTTTCCTGTATGTGGAATTATTGGTAACTTCCTGTTTCTCTGCACAAACGCACCCCACTGTTCCCCGAGTTTGGAATCGGCAGCTGTTAGCGTCTCAGCGGGGCCCCCTGTGCGGTCCTGACCCCAGCGCTGGCGGGGGATAGGAACCACGCACCCGTCAGGACCATCCGCGAGCTCCACGGCGCCAGCTGATGCCCACCTGATGCCAGCGGGGGAACGGATCACGCACAGCCGGGACTCAGAGCTTCCAATGGGAGCTGATGCATTTCGTAGGTACAGATTTGAATAAAAGCACCCAAGACGAAAACACTGCTCTGACAAAGAACTCTGACCAGAAAAGGTCATCGGCTTATTCTTTCCACAATGTATGCAAATTGTGCATACTGCAGTGTGCAACCTCTCTTTGTTTCTTTATGTTTGTCAGACAAACATCTGTTTAAATTAAGACCCTGGGACTTTCTTCCTTTATTTACAAAAGTTCTGGTAATGTCATTTTGTTTTCTGGAAATACCCTGCTAGTTTCCTTTCTGTTTTTTTTCTGTCTCCACACTGTGTTCTCTTCACTCCCCTGGGGGTAAAACCATGATGCACTGCGTAAGGAACGTCTGTGCAAGACTCCTGTCAGGGTTTCCCGATGTCCTTTACGCTATCAGGTGCTTTGGTTTTCTTCAGCTTTCATGCACTTTGCTGAATGATCAGGGCTCGGTTACTGTCTCGGAAGACTCAAGGTGCAATGGAAAGGATTCTGACACTCACATATATTGCTCCTAGTTGAGTCCTGTCTGTGTCGAACAATTGGTAATAGTGCTGCACGAAGCTGGATCCTATCTGCTCCCAAATTGGCTTGTCAGCCATTCTGAATCACCCAGGAACAGGCTCTGCGGAGAAACAAAGACCAGACAGTTAGTGCTAAATCAACAGCGCGGCAGGGCGCTGCTGGACAAGAACCACTCAAGGACTGCTGCATGTCCCCCAGTGACCACGGCCCCCATTTTCACCTGCACCTTCACTTCTACAAAGGGGGACAATGAGTGGTTGGACTGTGTGTCCCTCTCCTGCCAAATGAAATCACAGATTGGGGAATTAAGTGCGATTTAAAAGGGGAGCTGCAATGTTATTTTTATATTCCGGGCTTAAAAAAAGAATCGGCACTGATGAGTGCATTGCAAACTACACTGACGGTAACATATACAGTCACATGGAAAACCGCCATTTACATCACAAAATAGACTCAATGTCCACGTCTGAGCAGCGCCATGTTCTGCGACTCAGAACGAGGCAACAAAACCTCCGGTGACGTGGAGCAGCCTTATTAGATGGTAAACACGCAGCCTTGTGAAGACCTCTCTCTTCAACCAGACAGTTTTGCCAACAAATATGACTCGTTAACTCTGCATGCAGATCACGTTGGAACATTTCTGCAGTGAAATGTCTGCTACACAACCTGTTTTATACAGTCGTACATTTCTTTACAATAGTCATTACAGCGACTAGTGAGCAGGAAGGGCCGAATCACGTGACCATTCTTGGGAACTCAAGATCAGGGATTTGCAACAAAATGACGACTTACAGCACTTTTGCAAAGTTCACAGTTTTGTGCTTAATTCAAAATTCGGAATTGTTTTCTATACCATCGATGAATTTATTTTGTTACCAAGATTTAATATCCGGTTTAAGAAATTGGGACTATAGTTGCTCTTTAATCAGGTTTTGGGATAATAGCTCCCCAGTCATGCTGTTGAAGCCGATATCCAGAATATCCTGAAAGAATTTGGGAAAAGATTCTTGGATCCATTACATACAAACTATCAAACAGGCTTAGGTGGGTCAAATGTCCTTGACTCGCAGTAATCTTAACTATCTTCGCATGAATCCTTAGGTCAACAGCTAAGAGAAACATAATTCTTTCTTTGTAACTTTACTGTAATGATGGAAAAAAATGACCTCTAAAACATGCTTCCAGAAAAATACTTCTGCATCGCTGCAAGAAAAAAATTTTTTTTTTAATCTACGCGACAGCTACACAGCTTACCTGAAAGGTTCCCTTGTAGTCCTTTTTATTTAAAATAGTAAGCTAACTTCTTATCTTCAACAACAGCAGCACCCAAAAGAGGATTTAAACCTGCCAACCTCCAGCTGAAAGCCTAACCACGAGTCCAGCTTCCACGTGAAGATCTGTCGCTAGCTGGTTGAGTTGAAGGACACCCCTCTGATCATGAACCCCACAATGCACCCGCCATGAGACGATCCTAACAATGGGGCTCTCTGAATTGTAGCAGTTGCGGAAGAACACTGTGCGTTTAAACCTGAGGCCTGAAGGCGATTCTTTACGCAGAGTGTTGTGGGAGTATGGAACAAGCTGCCCCGTCGTGTCGTCAAAGGAGATCTTTGAACCAATCAGCCGCCAGCAACCAGATGGCCAAAATGGGCAGAACTGCCTTCTCTCATTTCTAGTCCGATTGTTCTCATACACCAGAAGTCACAGAAGTGAAAGCAAACTTTAAGACTGCAGACACCGATTAACAAACTATGATTCCGCACACTTTTCTTTTTAAAATGCAAAAAAAGGAGACTTGCCTTTGGAAAGCACAGAAAATGTAACTGAGCGCTCCGTTAATGCCCCAGAAGAGAAATCAAAGCTGTCTGATTCTATCCTCGGACTCTCTGCATTGCTTTCAGAGGTAGGCCTACAGAGACAAGCCCAGCATACATATGGACAGCTGCTACCATAGACACTGTTACAGAACCATCTGATAATCCTGAGAAATGAGCAAACTCCAATCCAGCTTTTGGCTGCCTGGTCTTTGCCGTCTGCTCTTCCTGCAGTGGTGGGGACACTAGCTAGTATTCCAGAGACATTCGGCTCTCGAAAAGGAGACAAACCACCAGTGCAGCAGCAGGAGAGGCAGGAATTAGCCTGTACATACCAGACACAAAGTGAGCCGACAGGGGTGGGGAACTGACTTGCAGTGTCAGTTGTCTTACACATGGGGGATAAAGAGTCACACAGCTACAAAGCAGCACTTCATTCCCAAACCTTGTTAAGGTCTGTGCATTAAAATGCAACGTTTTCACAGCCGCAGACGTGACATCCACAGTGTGCCACAGTTCCCTGAATCCGGCCGGGAACTCTTATCCGCATTTGTGCTGGAAAAATCCGCTCCCTCAGTCCTCCCATCAGCTTTCCACGGACATCGCTCTGGTCTGAAAACCAGAGTGCTCAGCACAACCCTACCTCTGCCGCTGCCGGCTGTGTGGAAAGGAAGGCACAGAAACAAACTCCTGAGAAGAATTTTATTCATGAAATATGCATGGGTGTCGGACCAACTAAACTGGAAGGGCTAGAGAGCCGGGGCTGCCACTTGTCACATTGTGAGGACTGTTATTCTTGTAATCTCTGCTGACGCAGTGCACGGGGATGCGTGTCTTGTATGAAGGGGTTCCGTAATTCAGGGCGGTTACTGTGTTCACCAGCCTACCTATATACCAGTAGAAGAAGCCCTGTTGCCATTCATATAAAAACTGGGTGTGCCAACAGCCTGATAAAGAATGACAGTAACAGACACAGGACTCCCACCCACTCCTGCTCTGCTGGGTGTATCATGAACACATCCTCACAAACGCTACAGCTGTCCTCGCTATCACACCTGAACAGGGCAGCCGGTCTGTTCCTGCGGAACGGATCCGCAGACGGGCACGGCTCACGTTTTCAGCTCGCGCCCTCACTTCCCAGAGACCCCCGGGGAGGCGGTCCTGGGCTGAGCAGGCAGGAGCACAGCCAGAGAGAGGGAGACTGGGGGGAAAGATGTACGCGCGTACACGTACACTCCCCCAGATCCACACCGACCACACCGGCGGACCCACCCGGCACCAACGCCAGGACAAACAGAGTCTCCCTGGGCTTCACCAGCCTTGGAGACCTATGGCAGACAACCTGGAGGGGAGAGGGGCTTCACCGTCTACATCAGGGGTCTCCAGCCCAGGTCCTGGCAGTAGTCCCCTTTCCGAAAACTGGGAACAACTAAGTTTCCGATGAATTAAGCAAGCAAGCTGTGCCGCCGAAAGAACTCTGGCCCCGAAGGCATGGAAATTTTGGTCCCAAAGGATCCGTAAGTAAGTAACTGCACAATCAATCCCAGTGAAAACGGTCCGTCACTTTAAAACAAGGGTGGTGATTTAACGGTGACCTGAAACCTGCTGGACTGGGCCTCTGCAGCAGCTGGAGACCCCAGATTTATACAGGCCCCCCGCACTGCTGTGGCCAGATAAGGACTCCTCTCCAAGGACAGTGCGAGCCACTGTTTCCTCTTGCCCCTGCTGCAGCTCGGCTGGTTTCTTTCCAAGCAGAGTGACACTCCAGACTGGGGGCTGCTATCATTTCGTGCCCCTCTTGGTAACTGTAAGTTGTACCAGGACAACACAGCAAAACCGGAGCGTGGAGGCGGCCGGGTCTCAAATTCCCGGAGCCCAAGCGAGCGGGTCAAACGAATTCGTCGCCCGTCCCATCCCGTTTTAACCGCGGGGTATCCCAGCGTACTGTGGCGAGATAAAACATCTTTCCTGAACTTGTTTATTGTTTTTTTGTTCAAGTTTCAGACGATCTCCTCTGCATTGTGTTCCACTCATGTGCACTAGAGCCGGCAAGAGCTGGAAACTCGAATATGCACAATTGCAAATCGAGGAACTCCGCAGAAAGAGGAGGTTACTGTGGGTGTGTTTCTAGTTGCAGCCTAGATCCACTGCGCCGGGTGCAACCCCTGGACACAAAGCACAGCCCGCTGCACCTCAAAAGAAAGTTAAGGGGTTAATTCAGAGGAGTGAGGGAGAGACGGGCTTGATCTACTATGTTCTCATTTTTGTTTAACCTAACATGCATATAAATCAATCGTTCCTTCCAAGGCATTTGTCACAGTTCGAGAGACGAGGAGAATAACATAGGAAGACGATTGAGCCCCACAATCAACACGTGTCCCTTCCCTAATTACTAAAAATACCCTGTGTCCGAGCTGTCTCCCGGAGAGTACTGTACCACAGTGGGGCCCTAATATGAGTGCAGTCCCCCTTAGACCATAGGCGTGTCTAAGCACTTCAGCCGGAGCGCTGCCTGACAAAAAATCATCATATTTCATCCTCTTCTTTTTTGAAAACCATGAAAACAACGAAGCCTGCACATTAATATTCGGATCTCCCTGCCGCTGCATTTTTAATTCTACCCCCCTAATGTAGTATATGAGTTACTGACAACAACTTACCGAGCGCCCACACCAGCAACCACTGTTTCCCAGTTATGGCGATCACAGAGCGCGGCCGAGGCGATCCGCCTCCCGGCCGGAGCATGCTCAGTCCGCGGGCTTCGGGCTGCTGCCTGTCGGGAATTGTAGTTTTGCAACAGACCGAAATTCGCACTGTCAAGCAGAAGGCCGGAAAATCTTTGAATTGTTTAGGTGCTGACTCTTTCTGTTGTAAGGTCTAGGGTGCTGAAGAACGCGATTGTTCTCTCGGCATTGTCATTTAAGAAATCAGAAGACGAGACAGGCAAAATATGAGAGAAAAAGAAATATGAATATGTCAATAATACCAGAGGGATTGCAGGTTACACAAGACAGTATTTCTAATTATTCCAACAATTATTCATCTAAGGTGTTAACACTTTCAGTCTTGCACTATAAGGCAGAACAAATCCTATTAGGAAACAAAGAACTGAAATGTGTGCAGATGATTGGTGTTTAAGTAATTAATGAAATCCTTCGCTCAAATTTTTACTTTAATATTACAAATGACACTCATTTGGGAATGGACTGAGGGACATTTCCCCTTTCTTTATTAACTTTATAGTTTCTAATGCAAGAAACTCAGCAATCACTCTTCTA